AGGATTGAGAGAGAGGCCTCCGCACCCCACAATAGCCAGTAACACAGTGCTTAGGGCACTCATCTGGGATGACCCAGGTTCAGGTTTGGTTTGAAGTAAGGACTCCACTGCGGTGGCAATAATAATAATAATATTTTTTTTAAAAAGTTTTGTCTTCATCCCTGTGCAGAACAAAAACAAAAGTCAAACATTTTTCGCGCAAATGAATCATTGTTTTCTGACCACCCCTAACGAAGACTTTCCTGGAGTGCTATGTGAGCTGCTTTCCCAGCTCTGGCAATGCACCTTAGCGCCTCTTGCTTGCAGACACCTTGAATCTGGCTAACTGGTGTAATAAAATTGGAAGGGTGTAGGCCAAAAAGTATTGCATTTTTATTTACAAGGACTCTTTAGGGTAACGAGCTTTATAGCTGATATTCATACCTGCTTATTTAAATAGTTAGCCAATATGATATGGGGACAAAGGACACAGTTACAAGGCAATATGAAAAGGACAAACACATGTAGGGTAAGACTGTGTGGGGAACGTGTGGAAATCAGACAGTGCAAATGGAGGATAGCACTTACCTATAAAAAACATGAGGCTGTATATTTGATATGGCAGTGCAAGGGTATCCAACTTCATTACTCATATGTTGTGCCCTCTGTATATTGCCTTCTTTTTCTCATAAATTGCCATGGGGATGCTCTTTGTCTGAGGGTAATACCATGCCACCATTTCAGCATTCTCACATTGACTTCACTGCCTGGGTTGGCCCTGCAGTGCCCCTACTGGCCACGGCTTGAGATGTGACATTGGGCAGGGAGGAAGGTCTCTGAGGTGGGACCAAGCAGGTGCTTAACTGGCTGGTTGTTGCTCACATATTCAGTGTCTAACGAATCATCCTATGTGCGGACGGCAAGGAATTTCCCTCCGGTCAGATTGGCAATGACCTTTTTCACCTTCATCTGCAGCATATGGGTGCAGGTCACTTGCCAGGATTATCTGTGTATATCTCACTAAGGGCTTGTTTATATTACCGGCTGGATCGACGGTCAGCGATTGATCCAGCGGGGGTTGATTTATCACATCTAGTTTAGACATGATAAATCAACCGCCAAGTGCTCTCCCGTCGCCTCTGATACTCCACCAGGGCAAGAGGCGCAGACGGAGTTGACGGGGAAGTGTCAGCCATCGACTTACCACAGTGAAGACACTGCGGTAAGTAGATCTAAGTACGTCGACTTCAGCTACGTTATTCACGTAGCTGAAGTTGCGTAACTTAGATCGATCCCCCACCCTAGTGTAGACCAGGCCTTAGTCATTTTCCTGCCATTGCAGGGGCCTCAGGACTGGTGCTCCTTGGTGCCTCCTATTCTCTGCCTGTGGCATATAGTACTCTAGCCTCCTGTGCATTCAGGGCCGGCTCCAGGGTTTTGGCCGCCCCAAGCAGCCAAACAAATATATAAATAAATAAATAAATAAAGCCGCGATCGCGATCTGCGGCGGCAATTTGGCGGGAGGTCCTTTGCTCCAAGCAGGAGTGAGGGACCGTCCACCGAATTGCCGCCGAACAGCTGGATGTGCCGCCCCTCTCTGAAGTGGCCACCCCAAGCACCTGCTTGGTAAGCTGGTGCTTGGAGCTGGCCCTGTGTGCATTGTAATACTTTGCTCTAATTTCAGTTGGGTTTAGTGGACAGGTGCTGGGTGGTGTTGATGGCTTGTGATACGTAGGAGGCCAAACTAGATGATCTGGTGGTTCCTTCTGGGTCTATGACTCTGTGAGAGCAACATGGCAGACAGTATGGGTAGTATTGTTACAAAGTGAGTCTGAGACTACAATGTAGAGGGAATTGGGTAATCCACATTTTTTCCATGCAACGTGATTGTTAATGGTGACTTTTTTATTATTAAGGCAGCTAAAGTGACTAGAATCTGGTTTGTTTATGGGGGACATGTGTATTACTATACAGCATAAAATGATGGAAAAAGGAAACTGATAATAAGGGGAAAAATACACCC